TAAATAATAATTTTTAATTTTTAGGTAGAAGATACCAGATAGCGAAAATGCAGCACGATAAGTCCGATATACAGCGACTAGAATGAGTCTACATTTTTCAGCATTTTTTTGTTAATCAAATAATGATTTCAATTTTAAATATATATTTTGGCAAATTTGATTATACGTGCATCTAAATGAATAAATACTTCACATATAAATTTTTATGCTAGACTGCACAATATAATTAACAAAATAATCTACTGTAATTAATAGCGTATGAAATCGTGTCGAGACTGCGCTGTTTCACACAGTCTATCATCATGTTATCTTTCGAATTTTCGTCTGCCATTTGGCACATACGTTCGTTAACTATTTAGTAATTGTTGCCAATAATTTTTAAGAATGAGTCTTTTTTTTTCACCAAATTTTATCCGGTTTTGTACCTAGCCATCTAGCAGTACTTTCTCTTTCAATAAACCGTCTGGCAATAATTTTCCATGGTTTACAACAATAAATACTTTACATAATTTATCGATGAGTTCGATAATTTTTTTTCTGTAAAATTTAGTATATTTGACCCCCCGTCCCCGCTTTAATTAGGTAATAGTATGGAACCTAATGGAGTTTTGATGAATATTTATATATTTATATATTCACGCTGTATAAACTTTATTTTACATATAGCCTCTATTTACTCCATAATTACCCAACTTTTCCTCACCAATAACACCGTGAACTTCCAGTATTATGGAACGTACCCTACGTATGAATTAGAGGGCGCTTCACTTGAACAATCGACACCGAGTGAAACAAAGGACACGCTCTCTTCCGATTTACCTTTGGTAACAAGCAGATCGTGGCTCGCGACGCACTTTCATTTTGTCTATTTTAATCGTGGAAGAATTCTGCAAACCTTCAAACTGGCATGTAGATGTGGTTCCTTTCTTTTTATTAGTAATTTTGTATTTGCTTTTGGCTTAAAATATTTTACCAATGCTTGTTTTCTCAGTTAATTTAGGTACAACATTGTGCGTGACCTTCAAGTTGGTCAAGGGCACGTAGCAATTCATGTCCAAGAGGTGGCTTTGACTTGATTATTTGTATTTTTAAAATTTTCAGAGTTTTATTCGATGGGGACATCGCCTACATTTGACGAGTACGAAGAGGGTGCATAAAAATTNATTTTTAGGTAGAAGATACCAGATAGCGAAAATGCAGCACGATAAGTCCGATATACAGCGACTAGAATGAGTCTACATTTTTCAGCATTTTTTTGTTAATAAAATAATGATTTCAATTTTAAATATATATTTTGGCAAATTTGATTATACGTGCATCTAATATGTAAATCGTGTCGAGACTGCGCTGTTTCACACAGTCTATCATCATGTTATCTTTCGAATTTTCGTCTGCCATTTGGCACATAGGTTCGTTAACTATTTAGTAATTGTTGCCAATAATTTTTTAGAATGAGTCTTATTTTTTCACCAAATTTTATCCGGTTTTGTACCTAGCCATTTAGCAGTACTTTCTCTTCCAATAAACCGTCTGGCAATACCTGTAAATTTCCATGGTTTGCAACAATAAATACTTTACATTTCCGTAATTTTTATCGACGAGTTCGATAATTTTTTTTTCTGTAAAATTTAGCATTAATTAGGTAATAGTATTGAATGTACCTTATGACAATCATGTTTATGTAGCCAGCTCTCGTCTATTCACTCTTCAACTCTTCTCTTTCCCATTAACATAAACTAAGTACCTAATGGAGTTTTGATGAATACGTCAACGATATTACTGACAAAGAACAAAATTATAATAACTCTCTTATATGACCACGTTATTTGAGTAGGTAGATTAGATTTTAGAAGATAAAGAGTAACATCTTTTACTTTTACGACAGATTTCACATTCTTCCTTTGAAAACAAGTGATGATTATTGTGGTTATTAGCAAACATCTAGTAGTTTCTCTTTTTCTCTGCAGCAGCATCACGAAAAAATACTGTTGTTGTAGATCAAACTTTGTGAAATTCGTTGAAAATAGTATTTTGTGATATGCTATCCATAATATTGTTTTAATCATAATCATAGCTATTACTCGTTATACTTGATTAGAATATTTTTCATTGACGTCATAGAAATGCTTTAACATCAAATTAAGGGCTATCTATCCAAAAAATCTTATCTCTGAAGTTCTGATTAATGCAACAATGCTATTAATGTCATAAAGAACAAATTGATATTGTAGCGAAATTTTTATTAATTTTGTTTGATTTATTTTATTCACGCTGTATAAACTTTATATTACATAAAGCCTCTATTTCACAACTTTTACTCACCAATAACACCGTGAACTTCCAGTATTATGGAACGTACCCTACGTATGAATTAGAGGGCGCTTCACTTGAACAATCGACACCGAGTGAAACAAAGGACACGCTCTCTTCCGATTTACCTTTGGTAACAAGCAGATCGTGGCTCGCGACGCACTTTCATTTTGTCTATTTTAATCGTGGAAGAATTCTGCAAACCTTCAAACTGGCATGTAGATGTGGTTCCTTTCTTTTTATTAGTAATTTTGTATTTGCTTTTAGCTTAAAATATTTTGTCAACGCCTTGTTTTCTCAGTTAATTTAGGTACAACATTGTGCGTGACCTTCAAGTTGGTCAAGGGCACGTAGCAATTCATGTCCAAGAGGTGGCTTTGACTTGATTATTTGTATTTTTAAAATTTTCAGAGTTTTATTCGATGGGGACATCGCCTACATTTGACGAGTACGAAGAGGGTGCATAAAAATTCCGATTACGTCACAGACTGGCAGAGTTTTTTTCTGGGCCACTGGCAAATTTATTAGTCTGGATCGGAATATGGTTGTCTCACAATTTTAAGGAATCGATCGAGGTAAGTTTCTTTTATTTTTTCCTTTTACATTAAAAGCGGCTTACTTCCTCACTCCTTGTGGCAACTAAATTAAACCTTCTCTGTATTCACACAAATGTTAGGAATGTAAAACTGAACTAAGCGTGTATTATTTTTTGTGTTTTTTGATTTTTGGAATTCAAGTTGTAGCAAAAGTTATCGTTCATATAATTTTTATCTCTTACCTTATTATATTTCTTATACCACACTACATACATACCACTTTGAAAAAGTCAGATCTAATTGATCACGATTTTACCATAACACATGGTGTTATTTTAGTTTTGCTTTCGGTCTCGATTCCTAATATATAATCTGGTTGTTATCCAATTTCTTTTCGTATAATTTGCTTAGTAAAATGATATCGTAGTAAATTATTGTTAACTACTTTTGATGTATAAATTAAATTTTTAAATAGTTTTGCATATTTTGAATAAAATCATGGCACAGATTGATTAGCACCGAATATCCGTTCATTGTTAATATCCTACTTGCTTATATATTTTTTTCTATTTCCAAATTGTAACTGAAACCTACCATACCACGGATTTTGTGACCTAAGACAACGTTCGCTTGGATCCAGGGTCTCGTAATCACCATCCATGGAGTCTGTCGACCGATAATCACTTGGCCATCCACATCTGATAGATGACCAAAGCGTCAACACCCCCTCAGATATATTACAACTTGGAACAGAGTAAGACCCATCCATATCGTTGCCAAATCTTGTCAGAAGCTATCATCGCATCATTGCTGTTACTTTCAACTTATTACATTCAAGTAGAGATTTCTAGTCAATTTTTGATCTGTTACGTCTAATGTTGTCGAGAATTTTAACTTAGTATTTATTGCTGTTCTCTAAAAAAATGATTTATGTATGAACCGTAAATTTATATTAAACCTGTTTTAATAATCTTTTGTTTGTCTCATTTCTTCCTCGTAGAATAAGAGCATATCTACACATAAAGAATTTCATACTACAACCCCACGACCTTGCTGTAATCTCACTGCAACCTGATCGTAGTTTAGCTGGATGCTTCCTATTTAAGTATACTTGGGTTTTGCAGTCAATTATCCCAAGAAGTTATTGATTCACTTTGAATAACGTTACAATATTAGCTTGCTGTGTAACTACATAATTAAAATAGGTACTTTAGATTTTAGATCATGGTCCTTATATTTTAAAGTATAAACTTTTACCGAAATGTTTTATAAGAAGAACATTTATCTATCATTGGTAACAATATCACTGCCTTCTATGTTGACCAAAGGTCAAAGACCTCCCGAAGGTAAATATGTCGGTACGAGCAAAACTTGTGATTCTCAGGAGCGGAAGCTACACAGTCAAGGTAATCAGCCATAGTCAAGCTCCGCAACAATGTAGTATGAAACTTATTGAATTTAGGAAAACAGTTTGTGTATTAAACTGTCTTTTATAGCTTGTCTATTAGGTATTGAAAGGATATTGGAAATAATAACTCAAATGATTAATTCGTGTAGATTTATTTAACCCTCACAAAACCAGTGCTGAGTATTCAATTAATAACATTAGAAGTACATTAGAAATGCGTATATATGAAATGCATTTTATCACAACCAAGATACATTTAACAAACAACCGTGATATATTCAACAAACAACCGTGATATATTCAACAAACAATCGTGATATATATGCAACAAACAATCGTGATATATTTCACAAACAACCCTGATGTATTTAACACACAACCGTGATATATATGCAACACACAATCGTGATATATTTAACAAACAACCCTGATATATTTAATACACAACCGTGGTATATATGCAACACACAACCGTGATATATTCAACAAACAATTGTGATATATTCAGCAAACAACCGTGACATATTTAACACACTTTCAAATACAGGTTGTAAACCTCAGTGACGAAAAACAGTAGCGGAATACATTTATAGAGAATTGAATTGTAAAGCCACAATGAAATAGGTGGTGGTGGTGCTCAGGAGAGAAAGCAAAGTGGATCTTCTTATTTCGAAGAAACCAGCAGCCGTTAGTTTTGGTCTCTTATTCCTGATTAGCTTCTTCAAACTGTCCAGCTCCTCCAANATTTATAGGGAATTGAATTGTAAAGCCACAATGAAATAGGTGGTGGTGGTGCTCAGGAGAGAAAGCAAAGTGGATCTTCTTATTTCGAAGAAACCAGCAGCCGTTAGTTTTGGTCTCTTATTCCTGATTAGCTTCTTCAAACTGTCCAGCTCCTCCAACTCTTTGGAAAACAGGGGCAATGTCTGTTCCAGTCTGTAGCAGTTCGTCAGCAACTCGTCTGTCTCAGTCACAACCGAATCGCAGCAGAAAATTATAGCCGTCAACCAGATCTGTAACAAAATCACGCATGTAGTATTCGTAGATGCTGTTATTTTTTTAATCTACGGTGGCCGATTCTGTTATTAATTGATCGTTTGGTTAACATTTATGATTTTCACTTTATTTTAAATATAGGGTGGCCAAATGAAAACGAAACAGAGCCATTTTCAGGAACTGCGTCAAGATTGTAGAAAAACGCTCAGACCCGTCGATTTTAGATTAAAGGGGGACATTCTTTGCTGGTATTTTTGACTCCGCCACTTTCACCCCCAAGCAAGGGTAAGCATCACCCCAAAATATTTAAATGG